CATACATACATACATACATACATACATACATACATACATACATACATACATACATACATACATCCTACATATGTACATACATACATACATACATACATACATACAGAGTACGTACGTATGAACCTGTAGTTTTTCGAGCACAAAGCACAACGTACGACTGGGAGCATAATACGAGTACGTACGAACCATACAGTACGATACTACCGAAGTACTTCGCGGTATGGAATTTTTTGTCTGCTACTACTAGCACGTATGCGTACGTACTTACGTACGTACCACGATGTTCCTGTTCCTTTTGTTGTGGTTTGTAACAGTGTTGCTGTTGTTGTTGTTGTTGCTGGTGTTGCTGCCGATACAGTAAGGTTACACCAATAACACCGACCGAACACAAGCAAAAAACAAAGCCCGTTCCGTTCCGTTCTGCTTGCATCGTCGGTCTAGGAGCATTCAAACTCGCATTCAAACTCGCATTCAAACTCGCATTCAAGCTCTCAGTTCCGTTCAAACTCGCACTTGCGTTCCAACTCGTTCCCATCCATCCATGACCAAGACAGGCGTTGGGTTCCCGCACTCCCGGGCCCCGGCAAGACCCACCACCTCTCGCAGCTTCCACCGCTCCGCGTTCGTGATGGTGTTCGTGATGGTGTTCGTGTTCGTCTTGGGCCTTGCCGGCCCCTGCTCCGCCTTTGTCCGTGCCCCGGTGTTGGGTGCCGGAAGCAAATGCAGCGGCAGAAGCAGAAACAGAAGCAGGAGCTGCCCCCACCCCACCATTGTGCGGTGGTCGTCCGGCCCCATTGGAAGCGGGGTTTCCTTTCCCGACCCCCCGGAGCGCAACGCCTACGACGCCTGGTTGTCCGGGGGGCCCCTTCCCGAAAGCCTCCACCTGGACGAGGAGACCGCCGGAGAGGTCCTGTTGGAGCTGGTGGGCAGCTTTTACGGATCCTCCGTCTTTGGCTGCCACGAGAGGGCCGCCTCCATCGGGATCACCGGTTCCCTTTCCCTGGAGGAGGTCTGCGGCCCCGAGGTGGTCCTGGGGCTGGAGGGGTCCTTTTGGCACAAGCGGTCGACGGTCCTGGGCAGGGCGGCGGTGTGGCTGAACGCCCGGATCCCGGAGGTCGCGAGCGTGGTGGTCTCGGACCTCGAGGACCTGGAGGACTTTGAGGAAATCCGTGACGAAGAGAGCGGCGAGGTCCTCTTTCGGAGGGACAAGCGGTCGGAGGACTTCAACGGGGACCGGGCCACGATGGAATACCAGGGGTGAGTGCGTGTTTGCGTGCGTGCGTGTTTGTCTTGTTTTTGTTTTTGTTGATGGATTGGTTGAAGGATTCATTGAATGGTTCATTCAAGGATTCATTCAAGGATTCATTCAAGGATTCATTCAAGGATTCATTCAAGGATTCATTGAATGATTGATTGGTTTTTGCCTCGGTACGGTCTGTTCACTAACCACTAACCACTAACCATTGGGGTTGTCGGTGTGGCAATGTTGTGCTTGATTCGTCTTTTGTCTTTTGTTGGTGTTTCGTCGTTTGGCGACACCCGCAGGCTGGATCCCGACGACCGGGGGCCCTTTCCGCAGAGTGCCATGGGAGGCGGTGGATCGATGATCAACCCCGCCTGAGCATACAAGGTGCAACCGTCAACCGCTGCGTGCCGGGTGCACGGTGCCACTGGCAAGGCAGGGCGGGGATTTTCTGGATCGGCTGGTTGGGATCGGTTGCAGGCCTAAGGAACTGCACAACGCTGCACTTTGCTTTTCTATGCTATGCTATGCTATGCTATATAATGAACAATGGTATGCTGTGTGCCGTGTGCTGTGCGCTGTGTGCTAGAATGCAGCAGAGCGGTGCTCTAAATGAATTAGTTGGCATACAGTATGAGTACTGTGCTACAGTAGTAGTCGTATGGTGCCTTGCGTTGCGTTGCCTTGCGTTGCGTGTTTCGTTTCGTTTCGTTGGTTCCTCAGGCCGCACCCGCCGGCTGGTCTGGCACCCAGAGGACGGAGGCGCTGGAGAGAAAGCCCTCGAGGCATCCGACGCTGCTGTTGGTGTTRCTGTTGTTGGTGGTGTTGCCGGTGGCACCCGCTCCGTTGGCCGTCCTGGCGTGCTCCACCAGGATCGTCGAGAGGAGGTCCCCGAGGCACCTCCGCTCTAGGACGGTGTCTCCGATGAGTCCGTAGATCCGGGCGAGGTTGTTGGAAAGGGCCATTCGGAAGCGGGGGCTCCTGTTGTAGTTGCTGCTGGGATCGTTGCGTTCGCGTTCGTGTTCGTGTTCCTCGAGGCTTGCCGTGTGGGCCGACAAGAGCTCGTAGAGGAGGCGTGCCTTTCGCAGCGACGAGGCCCTCGCTTCGGCAGCGTTTTTGGAGCGTCGCCTCGTGTGGTGGTGCTCTTGCTTGACACCTTGATGGACGCCTTGATGGACGCCTTGATGGACGCCTTGATGGACGCCTTGATGGACACCTTGCTTGGCCTCCGTGGCCCGGAGGTGGTGGGCCAGCGCCAGGTTAAAAAGGACGACGAGGCCGAGGATGGATCCCGTTTCCGCTTCTTTGTTGGTTGGAGTCACTCGTATTCGTATCGGTGTGGAGTATACAAAGTGAAGGGGGGCAACCTGGGTGTTGCTGTTGCAATGGATGTGGCTGCTGCAATGGCTGTAGCTGTCGTTCTCGGTCGCTCCGAGGCGTCTTCTCTTGCTGCCGATTCCACCCATGCCTTCCAGCTGCCTTTTCTTGGAGCGGACCGCATGGACGAGACTGGTGGCCTCCGAAAAGGCGATGCAGTCGTCCAGCGTGGTTCTCGTGGAGGTGGACGTTGTAGTGCTTGCAGTGCTTGGGATTGTGCTTGGGATTGTGCTTGGGATTGTGGCTGTAGTGCTTGTTCTTGTTCTTGTGCTTGTGCCTGCAGTGCTTGGGATTGTGGCTGTAGGTGTCTCTGTCTCTGTCTCTGTTTCTGTTTCTGTTTCTGTTTCTGTCCTCGAAAGGGAAAAGCCCAGAGGGCCCCGGACACTCCCCTCCTCCGGGTCTGCGTCGCCCGCGCAGGCCTCGGTGGGCGGAGGCAGCCGCCGCACCCTTGCTTCGCTGGAAGCTTTCCCGGAACCTTTCCCGGAACCTTCGCTGGCTCGCAAGCCTCCGCCCGCGCTCTCGCACAGCAAGAGCGCCCTGTGCAGCGACCCAATGGCCCGGTCGTACCGGCCGATCTCGATGCACAGGGCGGCGCTGTTGTTCAGCTTCTGGGCGAGGAACCGCTTGCGGGAGGCACTGGGGACGTCCCCCCGAACGGCTTGGTGTTCGTGTTGTTGTTGATGGTGTTGGTGTTGATGATGGTGTTGTTGATATTGATGTTGTTGCTGCGTTGCTCCTGCTGCTGCCTCCGAGGAAGCAACCGGCGACGCCACGTCGGTTCTTGGTTCTTGGTTCTCCATGGTTGGTTTCATGGATTGCTTGCTTGATTGCTTGCTTGCTTGATTGATTGATTGATTGCTTGTTTGTGACACGAATCGAAAAGCCACCAAGCAAGAGCAAGTGCCACCACGCGGCCGCTGGTGCCGCAACCCCGGTCCCGTTCCGGGAACACACCCCCTGCGTGTTGCCTTGCCCTGGMTTGGCTTGGATTGGCTTGCCTTGCCTTGTCTTGCCTTGCCGTGGTGTTTTGCTGTGCTTGTACCGTGCCGTACGGTACCGTGCTTCGCCACAATTGTCAAAACCACTATCGAAGCAATACCGGACAACGCCATTAAGTAATTCGGAGGATTGTGTGACCAACCCAAAAACGGTACCGGTGCGACACAGACACAACCGGTCGTGCTTCGACAACCGTTCTTCTCGGCATCCTTCCCCGGTACCAGCAAGGCTACGTACGGTACGATACGACAGAACGGAACCGTAGCGTACTTGCGGTACCGGTACGGGATCCGTCCGCGGTCCCGGCGTTGCGGTTCGAAAAGAACCTCTTTTATCCTTAAGCACCGGAAACCATCTGCGAGTCCCGCGGTGTGTCGAATCTTCTCTACCCGCGGGGAGCACGAAAACTGTCGTGACAATCCTATTGGGAGACTCGAAAGAAGAACGTCAATACCGATTCCTCTTGCCTAAGTAAAAGATCGAATACGACTTGAATCGATTCATAATAATTTTTAGCTCTATTATAAAGACTGATACATTGATGCGCTAACAAAACTGTCGAGATAATACTATGCCTCGAGTTTCAAAAGAAGAACGGTACCATAAAATATATATGCTCTGCTCGTGATTGGTCGTCATTCCCYGCGCGGTGTGCACGGTGTTGCCTCACGAAGAAATATGCGGTGGCGTGTCTCACAACACCGAGTGTACACGTACGGGTAGTACCGGTACAGGTACGACGAGTGTGAGCCTGAATCACGAGTACGTAGACATACATCAACAGTTCATGCTCACGATTATGGATCTGTCGATGCGTAGTATGATTGCAGCACAACAGCACAACAGCACCTGCGGCTCACCCGGCACGGAATCAATCCCAACCCCAACCAAGCATTGCATGCCAATCGTGATAAGGACCACAACAGGTTCCGCACTTTGAGGGTGAGGGAGAATGCAAACGCCAGTGTAACAAACAAGCAACAAACACCCCAAACACAACAAAGAGGAGCGACGAAACGCGGAGCACTGCCAAGTGGCGGCGGCAAAGAAGCATTGCGGACAAGACCGATGGAAGCGGAGATCGGAATCGAGGGACTCGTCTGGTGCCATCGCCAACYGAACCACTGGCATCCGTGGCCGCGACGATCGTTGTTGTCGTTGTTGTTGTCGTTGTCGTCGCCGTCGATGGTGATGACGAGGGCAAGGTTAATTCGTGGTTTAAAAGATTATCAAGGAATACATTGTAATTGCAATTGTCGCAGCAACAGACTGCAGGTCCGATAATCATCTCGTTTTTCACAGCTGCGAGCAATGATTGCAGTTGTCGCAGCTACGATAATCTTGCAATGAACTCCGATGCACGCAATTACCGCAGAGCATTATGCAATTGTAGCAAGTATAGTACTAGTAGATCACAACGCAGCTCCGATATATATATATATATATATATATATTGCACGTATCGCAATTATCGCAGCAATAGACTGCACCCGCAATAACAGACCGCAGCTGCAATAAATTGCATTTGACCACAGCTGCGATATTCTCGCAGAAGATGGTCATTCCTGGCGGATTGATTACTCCATGTCTGATTCGTATGCTCTTCCGCTCGCATTCGCAATCCATGTTGCAGCAGTGCGTTGGTGTTGGTTTGTCTTTGTTGCCCTCGTGCTTAGTCGATTGCAATTTGGTTGTCGTCGTTATCGTGGTAGTCGTTGTTCGTCGCTATTCAAATGTGCCACAAAAGGTTGGGATCATGGAACGTTTCCGTTTCTTGTCGCCCCCCGGTAGAAAATCATTGGTGGCGGAAGCTAGATTCTGTTGCTTTCGTTGCTGTTCCTGCTGGTGCTGCTGCACCAGTGTCTTCACCTTTGTCTTGAAGTCTCGGTACGAAATGGAAATCTTAACGCTGATCAAAGGAATATCATTCAGTTCCGACCACCACCCGCCGTTGTCCCACATCAGGAACCTCCCTCCTGTGGATCGAACTTCCTGGATGATTTCCAGTGCGACTTCTTCCTTTTCGGCTCGCTTCACCGTTATTCGGTTTTGTTTGGCCTCGATCAATCCCCGGAAGGCGACGTTCCCGGGGTGACAAAGCATGGAGGTACCCGGCCGAAAGATGACGTCGTTGGACCCCGGGCACTCGATGATAGAGACGGTGCTGGTTTTGACACCGCTCGGGGTAATGCCTGTCTCGATGATCTTTCGCAAGCGCAGCCATTGTTTCAGGTACATCGTCTTGATGTTTCCGCTGTCCGTAAGGGGAGTCAGATCGACCGGTATGCCGTAACCCTTCAGGCGATACTGCAGCTCCACACCTTCCCCTACGGTGTTGCGATTCGTTTCAAACAAAAGAAAGTGGACAGCGAAGGGAGGACGTGGTGTCAGCTCGATGGTGTTGGATTTGAATTGAATTGAATCTCGCAAAAGGTTGAAATGGATTGAAGTGGTTCTCTTCTGTTCCCAGAAGCGCGACACGGCACAGCGAAAGCAAACCACATCATTGTACGATAACATTCGGCATAACATAATGTAGAACATTGCATTACTTACCCACGTGAAACTTGAGCCTTAGCCTGTAGGCCAAACCCAGAGTCGCGGCCATAATATTCCGTAACAGGTGGAAGAATGGCTTGTTCGGCAAGCAAAAGTGTACCGCGGCAATCCGGATCGGTGCCGCTGCGTTGCATTTGCAGTGCAGCGCCCGGTCGGTTTGGTTAGGGATGGCCCGCAGTGTGTCGTTTGGGCCCGGCCAGACAAGAAAGACCACCCCCTTTTGCTGGCTCTCAACGCTTTCGGCCGCCGTCATCCAGAAATAGAAGTTGGCCTTCAGCTGAGCGGAAATCAGGGAGAACGCAAAGGAAAAGTACATAGTAACCAACCGAATGAGTGGGAGGCGGAGTGAGATGGCAAGATCGAACGAACAACGAGTTTGGGAGCAAAGGAAGTCGAAAACAAACACAACGCAAAGCAACAACGACAATGCTGCAAAGAGTACAGCAGGTACCGCAGAACACAACGCAACGCAACACAACACAACACAACACAAC